CGACTCGCTTAGGGACATTCCAACAGTAGGAAGAGCAACCAGAAGGTGTAACAAAACATGCAAACTGTGTGGAAGTTTCTTTGTGTGACCTTTCGACAATAGGGTATTGTATGAAAAAAAGCCTGATTTTATTTGTTAAGTATTTATTCATATCAAGATATCTGTATTGTGTGATTCAATAATTATTTATATGTCGTCCTGAAATGAATTATTTTTATTAAGAAATCTGAAATCTGTCTAATGTGGTTCTTGTCTCTCTTGTTATTGTGTGTGTGTGTGTCTGTGTGACTGGTTTAGTAGGGAGAGAAAAATGTGTGTGAGCGCTGTAAATGTGAATGCGACACACAAACATGTAAGTTACCCTACAAGCACTTGCACATACAGTATGCTTGTGTGTACTCTTTGAGATTCAACATTGCCCTCTTATTACAGCATATCTCTCCACTACACTGTGTGTTGCCTAATAGTGTTTCTGCTGAAAATTAGTTGCTCACTATTGGCACCAAATCCATCTCCAGTGTAGGAAGTACAGTGGGTGCTGCAAAAGTCATCAGATAACTGATCACTGAGGCCTAGTTTAGATGTGGCAGAGTGCACCATTTTCCCATGTTTAACTGGGTTAGCTCGTTTTCTCTTTGTCTTCCCTCCGCCTCCGTTGTTCTTATTTCTTTTCTCATTGTTAGACATTTCCATACAAAAAATGATGAGGTTTTTTTCTTAGGTGCTTTTTTTTCTCACTATTCAGTTTTTTCCAGGCTTGTGTTAGGGCGTCATGCTTTTAAAAAAATAAACGGGAACCCCCACCCTCACATAGAAAAACACTGTTCATTCAGGAGGAGTGGATCATGCAGTGGGAGGGGGGAGTTTGGAGTGAGGGGAGATATGGCAGTGACAGGTGGGGAATTGGTAATAGTTATATATGGCAGGGCAGAGGTGACATTTAAGTGTGGGACTACAGGGGTTGTGCGTGGGCTATTTTTCACAACCTACAGCCTGCACCACAGTCAGATTGGTAGGCTGATGTGGTTTCCTGGAAATACCCCAGCATGCAAACACTCCCTTGTATAACTGTTGCAGATGAGCGCTGTTTCACTTGATGAGTGAGTACCTGATGTGGTGCAGGAAACCTTCCCATGCAGACTCTATAAGAATAATTATGTGAAGAAAACACAAGTTACAGGAGCTGAAAACATGCATTGAGCAATATGGTTGAAACGTATCAATATCACAATGTGGTCACATATAAAACAATCAAATTAATGTTCACTGTGATGGACTAGACCTGACAAAACTCTTAATCAATAATCTAAACAATAATATATTTCTTTTTAATTTCTTTAATTTTACTGCTAAAGAGGTCAAAAGTCTTAATTCTGCAACGTTTGTTCTGTATGCTGCAAGGGTTGCTGGACTTTCTCCATGCATGTTGGAAGTAGATGAAATTGTGCTAAAAATCACAACTCTGCCCATAATCAGTAATTCTTATTATAAAATCATCATATTATATGTTTATATTATCAAAATACGATTCCGCTGAGAATCAATAAATGATCTTATTAAATTAACACCCAGCCCTGTTACTTACAATCTACAGTTGAAATGAACTAAACATAAAAACCTATTTTGGTGGAGGACAGATATTCACAACCTTCACATAGTAGTAGTAGCAAAAATGTAAAATAACCTCTACTATCATAATAACTGGGCTCCTATTAACCCCACAACAGGCACTCTCAAAGCATTGTGTACTGTATATACCAGCAAGTACTCAGGAGTTTGTGGTAATTTTACACATGTTATTTACACCATGTGAGCACAATATGAACTAAAATAATGAATGTCTCTAATCTTGTTTGTGACACACACTCTACAAGAGAGGGGCCTCAACATTAGAATAAATGCTTGACCTTCCTTTGTTAATATTGCGGTGGAAATTCCTGAAAGCTAATATAATCAATATTTTTATATTAACAATAGCATAAAAGGTGTCCATTGTAGTGACAAAGCCACAGAAAGTAACCCCTCAGCTCTGTGGAGCACTTTAGCATCTTTGAGTGCATTGTTTCAAATGTATAGCCCGTCACTTTACTGTTTTGGTTCATTTTTAAAAAAGCAACTGTTTGCTAAGTTCACCATACAAGCTGATGATATTTTAATTTTATGTTTACAACTTGTTTGGCCAACAGTAAATCAAAAACAAAACAGTTAATGCAGGTTAAACAAAATTACAGTTAATAAAAATGACCAAAACCCACTAACATGCAGTTAATGTGGAGCTTCTGGGGCCCCTGGATGTCTGGAGACAATGCAAGAATCAAAAAGACACAAAAATGTACACAATTGAACCAGCTGTTTTTAAATCCATGTGACCCCCCAACTCTGTGTTCAAGCTGTCACAATAAATTGTGAATGAAAATGTCAAATGTAGATGATAATACTGTCTCTTTATGAATGAACCCACCAAAGTCTGACTCACTGCCTCCTCTGATGAAAACTTAATGCAAAAATCAAAAGCACAGTTGAGACTCATTCGACAGGAAGTCATCTGTTATTGTGCAATAGGAAGAGTGTGTATCCATGGTTACCTTTGTCTGGCCCTTTGTAAGCAGCAGCAAACATAGATCTGTGATACACCCTTCCACTGAACAGTATCACACACACACACACACAAACTAAAAATCATCTTATAACTATGTCATTCAAAACTCCCCCGAGTCTGTCATTTTTGCCTGGAACTTGAGGAAACTTCCATATTTAGGTTACCGAGGGTCCAGTGATGAAATACACTGTGTGCTCCATGTAGTCTGAGTTTGATGAAGAGTCTCATGCTCATATATTAGCATGTTAACTCAATCCACTGAATTACTCTACTATAGGATTTGAAGGTACTTGTATACAACTTTACCCCAGTTTGTTTCTATTTACACACTACCACATCAAAAGAGATTCACCCCTCTTAGAGTTTATGAAAAGTATAGTATCACTACAAACACACTGTTATAAAGCGGTAAAAGTGTGTGTACAGTACAGTGAATGAATGATACAGCATAGCACCGCTGTAAATATATTTATATATATATAATTTCACACATAATCATTTGAAACTGGTTTGAAACTGGTTATAAATGTATTTTATATACTTAACTCATGGAGATGTACTGAGCTTGAAGGTTGGTTTTGACAAAAAACTTAACCTTAACTTAATGTCTTAAATTCAATTTACTAGATTTCTTGTGTGAGGCTTTCATCCACATCTCATGGCTTTTAATCAATGGAGGTCCTCTTGGAGAGTAAAGAGGAAGTGTTTATAGATAACTGAATACCTTATTAATAAAACTGTTAAAATAAACATATTATAATCATAAACATTACAACTGTGTTACATTGTATTGTCAATCATTCATTATCTGTGACAGTAGCAGATGCATCACAAGAGGAATAAGTTGACGAGTACCAAAAATCACTCCGGACTCTGGACAAACTGTCTACTGCACTACTATTATTATTAGTTTTACCATTACTATCACCACATACCACATAGATTAAAATTGGCTGCTATTTATTTATTTACTGTTTTTTTACTGACTGTTCTTTTGCACTGT